GGAGAGCCACATGCAGCCCTCTCTAGCTCTGTTTTTGTTGGCAGGAGGTCATCGCAGCTGAAAACAGAGCTCAGGAGCCTGTTTTTGCTGGCAGAGTGCTCAGGCCACCATAGGACTCTCTGACATGAGTGATGTCAAGCTGGCCACGCCCACCCCAGCCTCCTGAGGTCAAACACAACCATGATGCGCCTCGCCATGAAATCAAATTTGACACCTCTGGCATGGGGATTTTTAGTTTGTTTGTTTGCTTTAAAATTAGCAATAAATTACCAAGAAGTCTGGCAGGTGTAAAACTTTGAGCAATTTTCCTGTGTGGTCAGGTTCTTAATTGCTTCTTTCCTTCCTAAATTCTGTTCCGTTATTTCATCTAGTCAAAATAATAGCAGCAAAGACATGACTAATTGGAATTGCTATATTAGCAAAACTGGAAGAAGTGGGTTTTTTTGTTTTTTGTTTAAAGAAAGCATTCACTGCCGACACAACAAAAACATAATCACTCTGCTCAGAACAGTCAAAACATTCAAAATGTCATTGCCACATTTTCTTGCATACCCAGAACACTTAGAACACCTGGTTTAAGGTCAGAGTGCTTCAAATGTCAAACTATTTTGCACCGGTGTACCTTTACATCCTTTACAAATCATAAAGAGTGGTTTCACTCTTCCTAGAGTGATTCTACATATGGCTGATTTTTCTGACAGAACATTATCACTGGAGGTTTTCAAAAATAGACTGGACCGTTTGACTGGGATAGTTTAAGGCTCCTACCTTGAGCAAGAAGGATTATTTCTTTTTTATTTTTAGCATACAATAGATTCCATTTCAACCATGTGTTGATTAGGTACATATTTCATGTGCTTAACAATTACTAATAATATTCTTCTTAACAGTATAACCATAGAATAATAATCACATTCCTGTATATATAATATATGTAATATTCAGTATATTTATTACATTAGTTCCTCTTATTGCTTTATGATTATGTCTAATCCCTTTTAATTAATTTTATTTTCTAGCCATTTATAAAACAAGTCCCATACCATGTAATATTCAGATTCTTCTTTTTCTTTCATTTATAATGTTAATCTATTCATTTCTGCACATTCAAATATTTTTTCAATTATTTTCTCCTCTATCGGTATCTTATCACTTTTCCAATTTTGAGCAAATACAATTCTAGCTGCTGGTTTCTAAGGCCAATTCCACCTCTATGATTCTAGGGTTGTTTTCAGGGCAGCATGGAATATGGCACCACCGTCTAATGACTGTGCCACGATATATCCTGCTTCAAATTTCTTTGACCTCACACCCAGATGGCATCAGTTCTTCAGTTGAGATGTATTTTACCACAGGATCCAATCTGGGCCGATCACCGGGAGCAGAGGTTTTGTCTTCCAAGCTTTCAGATTTGTCTTGGCGTCCCTCCTCAAGAAACTTCTCTGTGTCTATGTGTCACAGAGTGGTTCCCTGAGGATGGACTCCAGCAGGAGTCTGAAAGCTCGGAATGCATGCTTTCTAGTTTCTTCAGCACAAAAACTGGAGAAAATTACTTTCTGTGATTTTGATGCTCTGGTTGCTCTGGTTTGATGTTAGGTTGACTCAGACTTACATCTTTCTGAGGTGGGTAAAATGAGGACCCAAATTGTTGGGGGCAATAGGCTGACTGTGTAAAACTGGTAAAGTACTTTGAAGCAGTATAAAAGTCTAAGTGCTATTGCTATTGCTATACTTGTATTGATGCAGCCCAAAATTGCATTGGCTCTTTTGGCAACTGAAGTACGGTGTCAATTCTTGCTTAATCTGCGGTCTAGCAAGACTCCCTGATTTTTGTTGCAAGATTCCAAGACCTCTAATACAGGGGTCACCAACCTTTTGGACTTCAGGGACCACCAAATTCATAATTTTAAATCCCATGGACCACCGATATGAATTTTGACTGAAGGTGGCTTTCTGACATTTGTGGGAGAAGAGAGAGAGGGAGAGAAATCTGATCTAACCTCAGAGGGCTGGTGGTGATGTTCTCTCTCTGTCTCTTTGTCTCTCTCTCTCTTGCTCTCTCACACACATACACATACTCACACACACCAGTGGTGGGATTCAATTTTTTTTTATTACCAGTCCTGTGGCCATGGCTTGGTGGGCATGGCAGGGGAAGGATACTGTAAAATCTCCAGTCAGAGGTGGTATTTGCTGGTTCTCCGAACTACTCAAAATTTTCACAGGGGAAGAAAGTGAAAATAAAACTTAAACTGTTACAGGATGGAAGAATAAGAGGAGGATTTGCTTTGCCCAATTGGGAATTATATTACCAGGCAACGAGTCTGATGTGGGTAAAGGAATGGATAACACTAAGGAATACTAGACTTTTGAATTTAGAAGGACATGATTTGCTGTTAGGATGGCATGCCTTCCTCTGGTGTAAGGGAACTAAAACGCAGGGGTATTTTAGAAGACATTATATTCAAGAAGCATTGTTTTTATTTATTTATTGTATTTATTTATTTGGTTTGTCAATTGCTTACAAGATAATAGATATAAGTAAAAACATAGTTATGAATACATGGATACATATAAGAAAAATAAAAGAAACAATAGGACAGGGATGGTAGGCATGTTGGTGCATTTATGCACGCCCCCTACAGACCTCTTAGGTAAGGGGTGAGGTCGATAGTAGAAAGTCTAAGGTTAAACTGGGAGAAGATAAAAAAGCAACATTATTTAAAAATTGCACTATGGTTATCTACTATTAAAGCTTTTTCTTATCCAATAATATATATATATATAAAGGAACAAACAGTTAGATATGGCAAGATATTGAATGAAAAAGGTGAACTTAAATCTATGCAAGCGTTGGAAGAACAAGGTGTAAAAATGCATTGGTTTTCATATTTGCAAATATAATCTAGATTTGATAAAGATATTAAAAGAGAAGGTATCTATGATAAGTTGACTGACTTAGATAAAATTTTGACAGGTACTGATGAAAAAGTAATTAAAAAACTTTATGGACATTTGCTGGAGTTTAAATTAGAGGAACAAGTTAAAGAAACGATGATTGCTTGGGGAAAAATTTTTGGATATGGGATTGACCGAGATAAATGGCAAAAATTGTGGTCTCAAAATTATAAAATGACAGTGTCAACTGCATATAAAGAAAACTTGTATAAGATGTTTTACAGGTGGCACTGATGGGAATGTTCAAGAATAAATTGGATAAATGTTGGAAATGTCATCAGATACCTGGTTCATATTACCATATGTGGTGGACATGCTTGGATGCAAAAAGATACTGGACTATAATCCACACAAGGTTGGAAAAAATGATAAAACAACACATAGACTTTAAACCTGAGATATTTTTATTGGGAATTATACCGGAAAAATACAGCAAAGAGCTCAAATATTTGATTGTAAATGTTTTAACAGCAGCTAGAATTGTATTTGCTAAGAATTGGAAAAAATGAAAATATACCTATGCAGGAGGAAATTATTAAGAAAATCATGGACTGTGCTGAAATGAGTAAATTAACATTTGAAATCAGAGAACAAGAAGACAAACAAATTTATATGATATGGGATTTATTTTATCAATGGTTAGATAAAAAGACACGGTAAAGAAATAGATTAGGAAGCTTTACAATAAAAAGTTAATAGATTGATATGGAATACAATATAAAATATATAACCATTTGATAAATGTATAAGATTAAATTATAATGAAATTTAGAATATCTCACATAGAATGATGGAAAAATAGTTTAGTCAAATGAATGATTAATGATTGATAATACATAAGCACATGTTAGATTGATAAGGCGAGAATTTATACAACTTGTGAGTAATGGCAAAAAAAAGGATAGCACAAAAGATTGTAACCAACTGATACACTGTATGTATATTATTGAAAGGTGGTTTTATGTTTTTATGTCTTGTTTGCATGTTTGTTGTAAAAAATAAAAACTTTTTTTTTTTTCGCTACTGGTTCTCCAGAACTGATCAGAACCTGCTGAATACCACCTCTGACACACACCCTCCAAGGCAGCCACATTCCTAACCTGCTTTTCAGCTCCATTCTCAGGGGGAGGGAGAGGGGGAGAGAGAGAGAGAGAGAGAGAGAGACGATATTCTGCAGTCAGAAGGAAAACAGGGTGGGGGATTTTCCTGCAGACTTTTTTGGGATTTTCCTGCAGACAGAGACCCTGGGAAAATCCCCAAAAAGTCTGCAGGAAAATTCCCCACCTTGTTTTCCTACCGATCAATCATTCTTTATTTGGGATCGCAGGATACCGTTTCCAGCTCCGTTTTCAGGGAGAGAGAGAGAGAGAGAGAGAAACACACACACACTCACAGAGAGAGACAGAGATAGAGACAGAAACAGAAACAGACAGAGACAGACAGAGATACTTTTGGCTTCATGCAAGCAAAGCAGCAGAATCAGCAGAAGTCTTCCTTTCTCTCCCCCAAACTCTGCCAGAAATGAGTCTTTGCCAGTGCAGCCTCTTGGAGTAGGATGCCTTTCAGGGTCCCGAGACTCATTTCTGGCAGAGTTTGGGAGAGAAAAAGACTTTTGCTGCTTTACTTGTGTGCAGCCAAAAGCAGAAGCAGAAAGAAGCAGAAAGAAACAGCCCATGCAAGTGATGCAAACCTTGTGTCTCTGCACAGCCTGGATTAATTGCTTTGGGGCATGCTCTGGGGGTGACATTTCTCTGCGGACCACCAAATTTTTCTTGCAGGCCAACAGTGGATTGCTCTAATAAATCAAAGTCTCTAATTTTACTAAGGGCTATTTTCCCATCCAAATGAATGCAAATTTGGCTCTCTTCAGACCTCCAGCTACATGTGTGGAAATCAGAGGAGGTGGGATTAGTAGGTACCATTCTTGACACAGTTTGTGCCCTTCACACGTATAATGGGCTACCTGAATGGAGCTTTTGAACCTTAACTTTCAAAAGTGTACATTTTTGATTGCTTTTTAAAAAATGGAACAATTATATTTTTGTTGGAATTTCAAGAATATTTTGTTATTCAGCATTCAATATTATATAGCATATTGATTTATTTTAGGCTCAGATTTCTTGTGCCTCAGACTGTATGTCATGTCTTCATAGATAAAATTTTGCTTTGTCTTTGCATGTCTTTTTTGGAAGCATTTCTTGATCTGTTTAAAAAGACAATAATTAAGATGCATTACCCCTTGTTTTTTATATTACCAAGTTACCTAAAAGTCTCAGTTATGTGTGCTAGGTGCAGGTCTGTTGAAACATAACATAAAAAATATAAACAATAAACACATCTGTTAACAAATAAAAAATAAAAATTGAAGCATTATATAAAACCAAAATAAACACGTAGGAACTATAAAATAGATTTGTAATGCTACATGTTTTTAATTCGCTGGTCTTGCACTGAATAATTTTCTGCATTATCCATTATAGGAAGGAGGACATAGCTAGACATTTTAAAGGTCACAATAGAGCAAATATGAATGTTGTGCTGAATCACTAGGCTTTTCTTTTAAGTTTGCACTTATGTGATTATATGGATTCACTGCAGTCCTTACATTGGTATAGAAAAATCACAATAAAGAAACCTGGAAACCTTTAAATTGGGAATTATTTTGTATTACAAATATCCAATGTCCTACAATTATGCAGGGATAATTACCTCTGGGATAATTATTATTGGGACATTTCTTGACATGTACATAATTTTTGGAAGAAAAGAATGGAAGTGGATGGAACTTAGTTAATATAATACCTTGATATTAGCCATACTTACATTGGTATGATCGATGATATAAAATCCCAGCATAAAAAGCAAGAGTATTAACAAAGAGATAATACTAAACAGCATCCAGGGAAATTCAAACTTCTTCTCTGCAGCTTCTGTAGCAAAGAAAATGGGACATGTGGTTTATCATAAGGCTTTACACCAACCTTTCCCAGCCTCCAAATATGAAGGAATAATATTTCCTCTCATCATAAAAACTGAAAAGTCTGGGAGTTGTAGTTCCAGTTCATTTGAAAGCCATCTTTTAAAAAGTGCTTTAAAAAGGCTGCTTTATTGGACCCCAGCTTTCCATAACCTGGATATCCCTTTGATCTGTGGCCTTCAACTCTCACAGTTCACAAAAATTACATTATTAATTGTGGGATTTAACATCTCAGATACATTTAATTGTTTAAAAAGATTGTTATCTATTATTCATTTTTGCTTATCACACAAGGGAAAATTGTAATGGGTATATATGGATGTATTTGTGTGTGTGTGTGTGTGTGTGTGTGTGTGTGTGTGTGCGTGCATGGTGATATCCTTACATATTATGTAAACTCCTAGAGAAATTCTATGAGCAAAGATGAGATAAATTAAGCAATTTATCTGAATGACTGGATCAGAATCTGGATTGAATCTTCTGGTCTATAAAATTTCAATTTATTTGAGAGTCTACATTTTTGCAGTTTAAAATTCAGTCTATCCCATTGTCACCTCAATGTGCCATTTTCTTTTTAAAACAAACTTTCCTTGGTTATGTACTTTTTCAAATATGTGCATTCTGAAATATATATATTTCAAATATATACTACATGTCTATTTTGTATACTTGTTTGCTCAGTGCACATTATTTGCTTTTCATTCTTAGTACAATCCATTTTTATATCTTTTAACTATACTTTGATTTTGTAGGTGCTTGACTCAAACAAACACATTTTTTGTATTGGTCTAAAACTACATGTAAAGATACTGAAGTCTAGAATTGTAGTTTATGAGCTATCACTTTTGCCAACCCCAGTATCATCAAGCTTATTACTTTTTTAAAAACCACTTTAATTTGTATCCAGACATTCCCCATTTGCTTTTACATTTCATAGAATTCTAAGAAAATATGGCTAATGGCAGTTAGAATCCAAGTAACAAATGGAGAAAAAATGGTTAATGGTTTGTAAGTGAGAATTAAACTGTTATCCACACGATCATTTTCTCTATACCTACCTTTTATTGCCAAAAGAATAGGAGAGCTATTCTTCTGCACAAGTTCATTGTTTATGACCATGCCTGCCGTACACATGTATACATCACTGTCTTTCTCTTTCAGATGCTTCAGTGTGATTGTGACTGTGTTGTTCATCTCAAAATACTCAGTGCGATTTTCATATGCAGAATCTTCTTTCTTGATTTTACCATGTTGAGTAACATAAAGCACATTTGTGACGTCTCCAAAGGTTCGTTTCAGATACAGACCTTCAATCACATGCATAAACTTGCAGTTGAGATTGACAGATTGCCCTTCTTCAGCAATAAGAACCATCAATTCCTGACTCACCGTTTTATCTGGAAAGAAAAAGATCTCCTGAGTGAAAGTGATGGTATATAAAATCATACATTGCAATGTCCTACCTGTCAATGAATACTTCAGCTTCAACCTTAACAATACAAGAGCACACAATAGATACGAACTCAAGGTTAACGGCACCAAACTTGATTGAAAGAAATACAACTTCAGCAACAGAGTGGTCAATGTCTGGAATACTCTACCTGACTCTGTGGTTTCTTCCCCAAACCCCAAAAACTTTAACCTTAGACTTTCTACTATTGACCTCATCCCTTTCCTAAGAGGTCTGTAGGGGGCACGCATAAGCGCACCGACGTGCCTACCGCCCCTGTCCTATTGTTTCTTTTATTTTTCTTATATGTATCCATGTATTCATAACTAGGTTTTTACTTATACCTATTATCTTGTAAGCAATTGACAAACCAAATAAAATAAATGAATACTATTTATGCCCTTGCCATATTGATGTCAATGGATCTTAAGTGTTATAGTGTGTGCCAGTTCCTATTCCAGGTCTATTTAAAAATACAAAACTCTGAAGAGAAAGCCTCATTATAGGATCCTTTCAGTTGTATTCCATCCTTGATACTGAGGAGAATCCCAACTTTCTTCCAGGCATTCTCACAATGCAAGTTCCAGTTAGTCCTTCACCCTAAAACCATCCCAGTTTAAAAGCCTTATCATAATTATGAGCCATGGTGGTGCAGTGGTTAGGGTACTGCAGTTCCAGTCTTCCTTCACATTAGAATCAGCCTAGCTACTGAGCATTATCACAGTTTTGTAGCTTTCTGCAAATACCACATGCTGAATATCACCACCTATTCTCCTGAAAGCTGGCAGACACAATAAACAAGCCTATTTTAATTTGTCATTTTGTTTCATTTAGCTTTTTATTATTGTCACTATATTATAGAATGAGAGGCTCTGCTGCATAGTTTTGCTAAGAAAAAAAAATCTTTGAATTGTGGAACTGCTCTAAAAGCAGTGGCTATTATTTTCAAAGTGCATTCGGTAAATACTATTTTTTATATACTATAATAAATATAGTATACTCAAGAGTTAGTCTTTAACATCCCAAAGCTCTCAAAATATAATGTTTATATTTTTAAGATACATTTTAGGAACTTTTACAAATTTTGAATGCTGGAATTAATATAGAGCAGAAATTCTGACATGAAGAACTGTTGTTCCCCAACATACATCTTTGAATACCAGCACCAAATTTCGCTGATTCCTTAAATGTTTCAGCATACCGACCAGAGCTGTGCAGAGATCCGTATTTGAAGGGGAGGAGGTGACTCAGAGCATATGTCACCATGAAACACATTTTTCCCTTAGGATTGCATGGCAAGAGTTGGCCAAGCTCAGGTAAAATGTGGCTTATTTAAGGAGCAATGTATAGGTATTTTATACCAATTTGATTTTTCTCATTGGATTTGACAGCTTAATCTGAGAAAGTTAATATTATTTGCTTTCCAAGACCAACAGAAAAGATAAAGCATAAAATATTAAAAATTACAAGACAAGTTAATGAAACAATGTAATAATCCAAGAAAGGCAACAATCTCTGCAAACCATAGCTACTCATAGAAATTTACTGCAGAAATTAGTATACAAAAAGGAATTTCACTGGGATTGTGGTAATAAAAGACTCTTTGACACCACAAAAACTAATAGCATAATTTCTATCTATTACTTTTAAGTACACATGGAAAGGAATCTTCTCACATTTTAAATATACAATATATATAGACATTTCTCAGACAAACCTGAATATCCTACTTTGTATCCCACATTCAGACAAATATATTTATGCATTTTCCAGACAACTTGCTTGCTTTTATACACTGAAATTCTCTACTTTACATGTGCATTGCCAAGACTGCACAGATGCCATGACAGCTATGGAGCACTGAGGCAGAGGTAAAACAAAGTAATCATTAGCACATGGTTTTGGCCAAATAAAATGGAATAACTTAAAAGAAGATTGTCTGGAATTTTGAATAACGGTTCTCAAAATGCCACCATATTTTATTGCAACTCCTACTTAGGTACAACCAGTTGCTAGATTGGGTTTCTCTGCTGTTTACTCATCTTGCAAAAAAAAAAAAAAATACACAAAACATACTTCTACAAGTCATGCTAAGATATAAACAAAGTCTACAAATTCTGAGATAATTGATATGAACATTCTGAGTATTTATATTATCCAAAGAAAACTTTGATTTATATCAATAGGCTAAACCCAAATCTGATTTCTTCCCCTATAGTTAGCCAAAACAGTTTCTCTCTTTATATCATAAATAAAAGCAAGATCCGGATAAATAAACAGTCTTTTTTTAACTTAGCTCATGTTATTAATTCTCAGTGAAGGTTAAAAAGCAATAAAAATTTTTTTGGACAACTTCTACCTTTTGATCCTGCATTTCCAGGAGAAAGCAGCAAGAGAAAATACATAGAAAGGATCCAAAGCATTTTTCAACAGCTGTTTTTTTTATAACTGAAACCAGTTACTCTTTTACCCACAGAGCAAAAATTGCCTTCCCATTTGGATGATCATGTGATTTTCAACCAAACAAGTGCTTGGTTTAGTATAAACCACATTAGTATATATAGTCAAATCTAATGGTATATCCACACATAAAAGCAAATTTCTGAGAAGATACAAACAACATGTGCTCAGAAAGCAGAACTACTTAACTCACTTTTTGCATCTGTCTTTACACAAAACAGTCCAACCTATCAAAAACAGTACCAGTGGGCATGACTTGGTATACTTGGTATAATAGTAATAGCAACTGGGGCATTTTTTTACAGATTCAAATCTTCTCTAGCACCTCTCCCAAGGTAGGCTGAGGTTGTTGAATTTCTCCCTGCTACAGACCTATCAGCCTGACCTCAATAACAGGGAAGATGCTGGAAAAGATAATCAAGCAACAAATCAGCAAACACCTAGAAGCAAACTAAGTAATAACCAAAAGCCAACATGGATTTGTTAAAAACAGATCATGCCAGACTAATCTTATTGCATTCTTTGACAAAGTAACAAAATTAGTTGACCAGAGGAATGCTGTCAATATAATTTACTTGGACTTCAGTAAGGTATTTGATAAAGTAGACCATAACCTACTACTAGATAAAGTAGAAAAATGTGGGTTAGACAGCATCACCACCATAAGTGGCTGACCAGCCACACTCAAATGTAGTCCTCAATGGAACTGCATCTACATGGAGGGAATTATGCAATGGAGTACCCCACTGTCAGCTCTGTTTTAGGCCCAGTACTCTTCATCAATGACTTGGACAAGAAAAAAATGGAGAACTCATCAAATTTGCAGATGATACCAAACTGGTGTTATCTGCAAAATGAAATGGTGAAAAAGTAGAGTCCTACATTTAGGCAAGAAAAATCAAATGCACAGATACCCTATATATGGTACCTTGCTCAATAGTAGTAACTATGACAAGGATCTCGGAGTCCTAGTGGACAACCATTTAAATATGAGCCAGCAGTGTGCAGCAGCTGCCAAAAAAGCCAAAATGCTTCTAGGCTGCATAAACAGAGAGATAGAATCAAGATCACATGAAGTGTTAATACCACTTTATAATGCCTTGGTAAGGCCACACTTGGAATACTGCATTCTGTTAGGAATGATAGTCACCTAACAGTTGGGTTGGCAATATATAAACCAGGATAGTCATTTAATACTGTATCTTTAAGAGAATGCTGTAATTGTGATTGCCTGAGGTTCCTCCAACAGCCATAAGATGGAGCCAGAAACCTGGTTTCTTTCTTCTTGCATTTCCTGTTTTGCCGTATTGCCTGATGGTCATTTTGCTCAGATTGCTGTGAGTCTTGCAGCTGTTAGCAAACTCAGTTTACTGAACTCTGTGTATGATTCTTGACTTCATTTTTGGTTTATCCCTGGACTGATACTAACTGCTTTGACCATGTATGATTTGGACTGTTTGTTGGACTTTGTTTACCCATTTACTGGAATTAAAACCTACATTTTACTATTCAGCATATCTGTATGCTGGTTGTGTGTTATTCAACATCAGTCTCACTACGTTTCCCTGAATGCACTCATTCTCCAAACGGGGAATACCTCAACACATTCAGTTTTGGTCACCACAATGTAAAACAGATGCTGAGACTCTAGAAAGAGTGCAGAGAAGAGCAACAAAGATTATTAGGGGACTGGAGGCTAAAACATATGAAGAACGGCTGCAGGAATTGGGTATGTCTAGTCTAATGAAAAGAAGGACTAGGGGAGATACGATAGCAGTCTTCCAATATTTCAGGAGCTGCCACAAAGAAGAGGGAGTCAACTATTCTCAAAAGCACCTGAGGGCAGGACAAGAAGCAATGGGTGGAAGCTAATCAAGGAGAGAAGCAACTTAGAACTAAGTAGAAATTTCCTAACAGAACAATTAATCAGTGGAACAAATTCCCTCCAGAAGTTGTGAATGCTCTAAAACTGGCAGTTTTTAAAAAGATATTGGATAACCATTTGTCTGAAGTGGTATAGGGTTTCCTGCCTAGGCTAGAAGACTAGAAGACCTCCAAGGTCCCTTCCAACTCTGTTATTCTATTCTATTCTAAACTCATTAGGGATAGCTTAGATCTGAAATGAAGCCTTAGTCCTTGTTCTAGCAAAGTCACAAAAACGTTCATGCTAATCCTTCATAAGCCAAGTTTGCTCCCACTTTATTCCACACCCACATACAATGATATATCATAGTGTCTGTAAAATAGATTGAAGGAGGACTAGTTTCCCTTTGTGTTGCTTATTGTCCTTCTGTCATATCCTTTTCATCACAATTTTCAGAGTTCCGTCAAACACCTTCCCAGGTATACATGTCAAACTAATCCAAAGTAATTTTTGCATTCATACTTGCTAGGGAGGGAAATAATGATAGTATTCTTCCAATCATCAGGCCAAGGTGAAGGTTTATATACATCATTAAATAAATCACACAGTGATGTAATATTCAA